GGACATAACAGAGTATACTGTTTCGCCCATGATACCCCCTATGCGTTGCCATTCCTGAGGACTCAGGTGTTATTCCTCTGTACCCTGTAAATTCACTGCCATATCGCACCCTTCAAACCGAAACACAGCCATGCAAACACAACTGTTTCACGGTTGAAACACGAATGGGACAGAGGTACCCAAGCAATCGGCATTTGTACAGTCTCCCTCTGATAGTAGGTAATAAAGATTTTACAATACAAAACACTTCTTTTATATGGTAGTCATGTAATAATTAGCGAGTTATAGGAAACTAGCTTTAACCTGCTACTTTATCCGTGTTTCCGGAATGTGTTCAGTAACCGAAATAAAAAGTAGTTAGGTCCTTCTTCAACCCATAAAATACGTATATACCAACTTTTATAGTGATTAATTTCACCATTAAGACGCCAAGAGTTAACAAACAAACTTTCACATTTATAATATTAGTAAGGACTATGCAACCTTTCCCTACATTGAATTTGATTTACACTATTAAGTAACTACCACGTGCACAACGGATTGTGCTCAGAGGAATTGTTCAGTATGATGCCCACAGGCACTTCCTACCATCGTAGCAGGAGTTCACCCTCATACCTTACAGCTTAAATAGTCACGTACAACGCGATTTCAGCTTCATCCACATCTATCATCTTTCCCTGGTCGCGTACCAATGTATAACGATGGTACTGGTATGGGTTACCATTCCGTTTTCATCTCTTAAAAAAAAGTCTCATGGGTAGTAGTGGGACATTAAGGGTTTCATATTGTTATGATGATCAAATAGGTAATCATTATGTAATTTTAAGAGTTGGCACTGCCCTAATATTGATAAAATTGGAAAATGAATCTTTGCAACCATCTAGAAATATCAACACAATAAAATTATATACCTAAATGTAGATAGATAGATATATAATTTATTTACATCGCTTACATCACAAATGAAAACAGATTTGGATACATACTTAAAAAGAAAAATAATGGAAACATATACAAAAAAAAAACAAAAAAAAGAAAGTACATAAAAGAGATAATTTTTCGTGCCACATGTAGTTATAGTATTTACAAATATTTGCAAGATACCTTTGTCCAAATAGCAGTCATAGAAGACATAGCTTTTTTTCATACCACAAAGGTGGCAAACAAGCATGCGGCTCTACCTGATGGTAAGTGGTTACCGTAGCCTATGAACGCCTGCAATACCAGAGGTATTACGCGCCGACCCTGAAGAAACCTCTTTACGCCCCTTTTAAAGAACCCCATGCTGTAGTCTCTTGGGAAAACTTCGGCAGGAAGCTTATTCCATAACCTGAGTGTTCGTGGGAGAAAACATCTCTAAAACCGCGTTGTACGCAACGATCTAGACTTTAAGGTATAGGGATGAACTCCCTGTCAATGGCGAGCCGTACGATAGTAGAAAGTAGCTGTGGGCATCATACTGAACAATTCCTCTGAGCACAATCCATTGTACAGGCGGTAGAACACGCAGAGTGAGGCAGAATCTCTCCTAAGACTAAGGGGTTCTATTGCTTATAAGCCTGGGATCATCGACAATATAAATAAATAAATAAATTATTACACTTTGCCTCTTTTAATAAAGAGGCAAAGCTTTTATCCAGGGGATGAATATCAATGAGAGGGGGGAAAGGGATTGTTAGTAATGGAGACTAAGAATCCCATTGCTAGCAATATACCCAACCAGGTCGACCACCTCGCGGTTCCCCCTGGAAACTATCATGCTTAATTCCTGATGAATTCATCATGATGGGCTAACTGGCCTGTTTTCATTCTCATCTATCACCCTTCACTGATGCTTCGCCAGCGTATCCCGTTAGCGCAGGCGGGGTTACCATACCATTTTCACCCTTCAAAAAAAAATATCAATGAGACTTTGGCTTTGGCTAGTGACGCGCCGTATCGACCGAGTAACGCAGGTTACTTTGTGTATCGATTCTGCCAAATCGTGTCATACCAGCTGAGATCTCACGCGTCTATAGTTCCGAAATTAAAAACAATTAATGCTAATGAACGCTCAACAATTATGTATCAACTACTAAAATTAATTTAAAGATTTTCTGTCTGAAATAAAAAAAAAAACTTCTCACGTATCTCTTTTTTTTTAAATAAAAATAAATGTTATTCAAGTAAACTTAATTATAAATTATTTTTATTATAACTTATGTATTTTTAATAGTTATTTTGACTCTACCTTGGCCTTAAAGTAAGGCTGGAAGCTTATTATGAACGCTTAAAGGAAAAAAACCCAAGATTTCAGGAAATGTCAGTCCAGCTTATAGTCATATGACCTAAATTGAACATAAGAAGGTAAACTATAGTGATATTTAACGCTGACCATGTATCAAAAAAATTAAAAAAATATACAGACTGTGATACGTCCAGTGAAGGATGATAGGTGAGGATGAAGCAGGTCAGTTAGCTCATCGTGACGAATTCAACGAGAATTATTCTCGATGGTTTCCAGGGGGAACCACGTGGAGATCGAATTATAGGGCATATTGCTAGCATCTGTCACATTCCATTGCCAACAATCCCTTTTCCCCCAATAGATGATGTTGGAATGATAACCCCGCCTGCGCTGACGGTATACTCTGACGGAGCACCAATGAGAGATGATAGGTGAGGATGAAAAGGGAGGTCAATTAGCCCAATGTGAGGAATTTACTTGGAATTATAACACAATGTTTTCCAGGAAGAACCGCGAGGAGGTCGATCTGACGGGCTGTATTGCTAGCAATAAATCACCATATTTCAAGGTTGAGTAGAAAAAATCCCTTAACGGATTTAAGTCCGCCTATATTACATTTTTATTATACCCTAATATATATATATTAAAAATTAATGTATAAAAACATATAAATAAATAAATGAAATATTTAAAACAACAGCTGTGTTTCTTGCCCGTTCTTCTCAGCTGAAATTGCATTCCAAACTAGGCGGTAAATTCACAAAAATCATACCAGCTTTTAACTGTCCACTGCTCAACATAAGACTCCTTGGGGGGGTTTCGCCAGTATTTGCCACGCTTGGCAGACAAATTAACTAACTGCGGTTGCCTATAGAGATGTTTTAAAAGTTTAACAAAAAAAAAATATTTTTACTATTATTTTTCAATTATTAATGATTTTTTATTATTTATTCCTTATTATATTTTCACTTATTTACTAGCTTCGTTCGTTCGTTACTTCACACGCATAGGTTATAGAAGTAAAAAAAAAAAACAATTAAATTAATTCATTAAAAGATACACCAGACTTTATTTTCTTCTTAACTTCAGGTACACAACAGTGGAAACTACATCTAATAGTCTCGTATAGTCTATTAAGAGGGGCGAGAAGGGATTGTTAGTTATGGGGACTAGTATCCCCATTGCTAGCAATACGCCCTCTCAGGTCGAATTGTTAGCAATAGCTCGTGGTTCCCCCTGGAACCCATAGTGTTCAATTCTAAGTGAATTCATTACGATGGGTTAACTGACCTGCCTTTTCATCCTCATCTATCATCATTCACCGGTGCCCCGCTAGCGTATACCGTTAGCGCAGGCGGGGTTGCCATACCCTTGTCATCCATTAAAAAAAACTGTTATTAAGACTTCATATTAATCTATTATAATAGTAAGATTAGTGGCATCCCACGGCTTCGCCCGTAATCGTAATGTGATGTTTAATAACCTATAATACATAATTCTCAAGAAGTGAACTATCAAAATGCGTTTAAACAAACTCTTCCGCATTATTATATCAGTATTAGTATAGATGTGTGTTAATTATACCTTAAGCTTATTTGTTTATAAAAAAAAAACACAGTGCTATAGAGTTTAGAGATGTATTTTTTTCTGTATCGAATTAGGTACAGAGTACCTAGTGCACGACGCGTCGCGCGATAACGCGACAATATCGAACGGGGGCTCGTGTAGTGACGTGCTGCATCGACCGAGTGACGAGCGCCGCATCGATTCTTCACAATCGATGCACCCAGCTGACGTTTAGTGTTTGTAAACGGCGCGATATGCGGTATGGAGTTTGTATTCGTTACAAAAGTTGTTTCTTATATTATTTCCAATGAATATTAGGTACAATATAAAAATAATTATCGTATAATACAAACAGTTTCAAAGCGTAGCCGAAATTTTATGTTAAAACCTATTTAGTAATTAATATTCATTATTATTTTATATCGTGGTAATGCGTGACAGGATTGTCTTAAATAATATTGTTAAATTAGCTGAACAGTAAAGATTGGAATGAGAAGCCCCTTTTCAATCTTTCGATATATTTGTGAACCTAAGTACATACCTAGGCAAATTTTTTATAAGTTAAGTACTTAATGATGTAGATTTGAAGAAATGCAATTTGCTTATATTTATCCCTTTTATTTATTATCTTTTCTAGTATTTATAATTATCCCCATTCTTTCCCTCTCATTAAAAAAATATAATGTTTCGAAAATTCTATCAATGTATTCAGATAAGCTTGTGTAGGTCAAAAGACTATCGAGGTCACCTCGCCATTATGCTAATAAAGGAACTTTAACTTACATTATTGCATAGATAGTCTTATATTAACAAACAATTAAGAAAACCTCGTGAAAAACAATTAAACACCTAATTCTCCCATACTCGTTTCTTTGACTTACATAAAAAATATTTTTTATTATAACTATAAAATTTATTTAAAATTTATTCTAAGTACCAAAGCATTAAACTTTTTAAAATTATTACTGTTACCCACATCTAATTTATAGTAAACAAAACAAAACTTTCGTATTTATTCAATAAAGAAATAAAACATGACTTGGTAAACTTTTGTCATTACAGTTCGTTTCCGTGTCTAGCAATCATGAAAACTGTACAACATTATATCAATTTCCATTAGTTATATATTTATTGCCTTTAAAAACGTTTTGACAAAGAAAAGCTATCTACGAAACAGAGCATAGAAAAAGCGTCATGCAATGCTTACCTGCTAGTCTGAGCGCAGACATTCTCTGAAATTCAGGCTCCTGGAGCCATTTCCACATCCTCCTGAATGTTTCCCTCCCAGACTTCAGTTTTGACCATGGTTTAGGATTTCTTAATAAGTCGCTAAGCGTCCCTTGTGACCTGCATAACACCCTCTGCGCAAATATAGCTTGAGGGATTGAATACCGTTTCAATTCTCCACTTATCCTTTGAGCTAGTTCTTTAGTATTTATCTCTTCTGTGTCGTTCTGTGATTGTTGTTGTTGCTGCTGTTGCTGCTGCTGCTCTTCCCTCGCCAGCAACGCAGCATTGAGGTCCAATCCGGGGCTAGGTAGCGGCGGGGTGGGTGATCGCCTTTCAAAAGAATTAGGCGATGCACTTCGTCTGCTATACGCAGACTGTGGCGATAAAGGTTCATTGTAAGGAGCTGGAGATAAGGATGCATACGATTGTTGCTGTTGTATAACAGTGAAGGTACCACCGGCGTGGTAAGCGAATTTGTCCGAAACAGTACTTATTGGGGGTAACGGGAGCAAAGGCGTTAGGGTCGCATACGAGGCCGGCTCGAGCCCCGGCGGAGTTAGGCGTCCATTAACAGCTGACAAGGGGTGAAACGCCGCATCCCCGTCTGGGAGAAGGTCGCCAGGGGATAGTCTAGGGGGTGAAGCGTTGCTCGGGGCGACGATGACTGTAAGTGGCGCGCGATCTCGCGCTCTTGCCTCGTCCATGGCGCGCGGCCGGCGGCAGCGGGGTCGCGCGGGCGACTGAAGCACGCCTGCGCGACGCACCCTACCTTCCCCCCGTCCCGCATCCTGCAAACACCCCTATTTCTTTACCCTCGATGACTAACAACATATCTAGCATTCTGACCATTCGATAATAAACTTTCAGCATAAATTATTTCAGTCGCTTTTAACGTGAATATTGAAGCTATGTTCAGCAGTGTGACACGAGTACTCTACAATGCACCCTTAACCTACCCTGTGGCTTTACTATTCCTTGGGCCATTAATATATAACAAGTTTCTATTCACTGCTGCTCTACATTTATAAAAACCATAGAATTTCTATTAAAGGGGGCAATGGAAATGGTACTTCTATGAAATCACAGGAAAAGAAAACGTCCAGGATAATTTAGTAGGAAGGGTGCCCTCGTTCAAACATTGCTGTCACTGGGCTCCACGCTTTTGTCGAGTATTTTACCGAAACTAGTAGCTGTATTTCTAAATGTGTTCTCTTTTGCAATAGTTTTATTTTATAAACAGCCAAAACAGTTAATAAATATGCATTATTACAAATACCTAAATCGCCTGTTACTTAAATTTATTAAATTTTAAATTGCGAACGTCAGAGTATCAAACCAAAAGTTATTTTACGACCTTAAAGTCAAAGAAATCGGATATGGATATAGCGACAATGTTATTGGAAGGAAACCCCTGAGCAGGCTGTCGGTGGCGCACGGCGCCGGGAGCGCACAGTTCGCTGTGACCCCGCTCGACACCTGGCTCGTAACAAAAGTAGGCAAGTGATGTACTTACCAATGTAAATTTTAAAACATCGACATCGATAAAGATCCTTTTTGATAATTCTGTTCTATTATTAACCCATGATTTAATAATTAAATATAAATATCTTTATTTGAAATAGTTTGACTATATGAATCAGTTCAGGATTCAGGATATATGGAGCTTTCTAAGATCGGATGTAAGCTTAGCTTTCTAAATTATACCCAAAAATTTGTACTCAAACTATAGCAAATTTCTCAAATAGTGAAAAGTTGAAAATATATCATATGAAAGTTTGAATATCCATCTATTTACAGTCAGAGGAGTTAATATTCAACTTTTTACTTCCTGTCGAAATAAGACATTTTATCGCTATAAAAATATCCCATATTTTAACCTATATACTGACTAAGTAGGCACTACAAAATTTTATCAAAATTCGGTCAATAGTTTGCATAATGCGTGGTCTAGTACAGCCTAATTATACAGACAGACACACATCTATGCATCATGCATATATTATTTTCATAAAAGACATTTAATCATCATTATCATATCAGCCCTTAACCGTCCACTGTTGAACATTAGCCTTCCCCTTGGAGAGTTTTGTCATAAAAGACATTTATCGATAATTTATCACAAATACCAAAACATCCCTATGGGTAAACCGCGCTAGGTGCGCCCCTATGCCACGTCCTGCCTACCCCGCTACTCGTTACGTCACCGTATATACATACTGATAATTACCTATTCACACCTACACTACGAGTACACTATTGGTATGTTCGAGATAAAATAATGCTGATATATACGCTAACAAAATATTATTTAACGAAAGATAAACTCTATTTCAAAAGAAAGAGATTGTTAATAATGAGATTTAACAGCCTGGTTGCTAGCAATACACCCTATCAGGTCGACCTCCACGCGATTTCCCCTAGAAACCATAGTGGTTAATTCTTGTTTCATTGGTCACTATGGACCAACTGACCTGTCTTTGTCCTCACCTGTCACCTTTTACTGATATCCCGCCAGCGTATACTGATAGCGCAAGCAGGGTTATTATTCCATCTTCACCCGTTATAAAAAAAAAAAACTCTATTTAAAATGATTTTTAGTAGCTGTAGTTTTATTGAACAATTAGAAAACATGTATTTGAAAATCGGTGCAGTACCTGTTTGCAATTTAATGTATTAAAAATATTTAAGTATATTTAGACAATTAATGGTAATTTTTTTATTTTATCAAGTAAAGATTTTGTATAAAAAATTGTGTGTGAAAATTTCACTCATATTTTTGTCGTGTGGTCCCGGGATAGAATAGGCTTCCCTTTCCCGTGAGTGCCGTAAAAGCCGACTAAGGGAAAGAGAGAGGACAGCAGCGTCCCTCTTAAAATATATCCAAACCTATCTGCGGTTGCCAATCCGTGCCAAACGTGGCAACTACTGGCGAACCTAAAGAGGAAGGATTATATCCACCAGTAGATAGAGGCTGATATGATGATTTCTCCCGTGAAGCAATCGTGCTTGCATGATTGCGCTTTGGTTTGAATGGTGGAATCTAGCAGTGAAATTACAGGGTATACAAACATAACACCATAGTCCTTAAAAATGTGATGGCTTCAATGGGCATCGCAGTGTATTCTATGATGTCTATTCTGTTCATATCTATAAGCGACGGTTACCACTTACAATCAAATGGGTGATGGGAATAGTAAATATTAAGAATAATTAACATTTAAAATCTATTATTTTTAGTGTTAGTATTATGAAAATTTAGGTAAACGGCGAGTAATTTAGCGAATTAAAATGTTATATTAAAAACTTTTTTTCCCCATTTTAATCAACTTACTGTATATGCCTATAATATTGTCTCTTATATTTTTACTAAGCTATCCGCAACTCTATGAAAACAGTCCGAATCTGATTTAAGCTAGTCCACACTATATACCTACATAAAATATATTGAGCAACTACGATTCGGCATTATAAAATTAATTTTACTATGCAACTAAAATAAAATACTTGTTTTAAACAGTTAACTACAAAAGAATTTTTAATTATTGTACAAGAATGATAAATACGTTGTATTATAAAATATTATTCATAATATCGTTTTAACCGTACAAAAAGAGCACATTTGCGTGTCACGAGAGAAAAAAAGACAATAGACACCCCTTGCTATAGCACCCTATATTAACATAACATGTTTTTTACCGAGCGCCAGCTGCGCGCGCACACGCGTGACGTCACGATATCGATCAGCACTCGGGAATCGATATTATCGAGCGAACACCTGTGGTGGCTCGTGCGACGCACTGCACTATCTTCCGGGTGCATTGACCTTTTACTATTTTTAATGTGTGCTAATATTTAAATTATTTTTACACACACTAACATCTTAAGAGAAATGCCACCTATACCCCGTTTGCAACAAGCATTCTTTTATTTAAAATTTAAGCGAACAAAACTGAAGGAACTTACATATTCCTACCTCCTTCATCAACAAATCACATCAGCCATCAACTGTCCACTGCTGAACACAGGTCTCCCTGAACAGTTTTGCCAGTAGTTGCCACGCTTGGCAAGCAGGTTGGCAACCGCATTAGGCTCTGGCGACGTTTTAAAAAGTACACTGCTGTCCATGCTTTGACAATTAAATAATTACCTCCTTACTTAATTATTAATCTTTTTTAATGAAATTTAATTAAAATCACACACACAAACAGTAATACAACCGAAACGAGAACATTATTCTGTTTAAAACGTTACACGGTTAAAAAAATAAGATAAAATACATCTAGTCATACTAGGTCCATTTTATCTTATTTTAAACAAGAATATTTGTCAGGCCAATTATATAAAAACTAGGTAGAAAGGCATTATTAGCAATGGGGACTAATGCTCCCATTGCTAATAAACCCTGTCAGGTCAACCTCCACGCGGTTCCCCCTGGAAACCATTGTGACTCATACTTGTTGCATTCGTCACGATGGGCTAACTGACCTGCTTACATGCTCATCTATCATCCATCACTGGTGCCCCGCCAGCGTATACCGATAGCGCAGGCGGGGTTATCATTCCAATGTTATACATTAAAAAAAAAAAAAAAAAAAATATATATATATATATATATATATATATATATATATATATATATATATATATATATATATATATATATATATATATATATATATATATATATATATATATATATATATATATATATATAGATAGATAGATAGATAGATAGATACTCTTTATTGTTTCCTCCAAAAGATTACGATAGTAAACTTATTATAGATATAAACAATTACAAGAAATAATCACAATGAGAAAACAATGGGCGACCTTATCGCTAAGAGCGATCTCTTCCAGCCAACCTTTGGATGGAGAGGAGTAATTTTAAACAATTTGGTGGGAGGTACAATGAAAATGTAAGTTTACATAGACAACCAATCCAGCATCAATTTTAACTTATTTTATTTTTTTAATTAAAAAATCACTTGTCAGGTTTCCATATTGGAACACATGATTGAGGGGCGTTTAACGCCCGACCATTTTTATAAACCCCTGTATATATTTTATGACTTTACCTACGACTTCCTCTGCGTGATTATGTTTTTTTTTTTTAATAATAATAATATTTACTTAGACAGAGCATCGAGTCTCAAATACGGTTCAACTTTTGGTCAGCTAATTGTCAAATTAGCCGACTCGTTTTTTTATCAGTGTTCTATATACTTACGCACATAATGTACCGTCTATCTGTCAGTATTAAATTAAAATTTAATTATTTAATAAATAAAATGTGTTATTACGCATTAAAAAGATGCAAAAATTATAAAACAAAATAAATATAGAAGTTATAAAGGAATCACTCATAACTATTTATCACGCAAAATTGTATGAAAAAGTTGAGCCGCTTTTCTCGAAGCATTTGTATGAAGACACTCTATCTATATAATCTAAGTATATTTAATCGTATTTATGTCTCCTAAAAAACAACTTTTTTTTTAATGTGTGATAATGGTATGGTAACCCCGCCTGCGCTATCGGTATACGCTGGCGGAGCACCAGTGAAGGGTGATAGATGAGAATGAAAACAGGCCAGTTAGCCCATCATGACGTTATCGACTAGAATTAACCACGATGGTTTCCAGGAGGAACCACGTGGAGGTCGACCTGATTTGGTATATTGCTAGCAATGGGCTATTTAACCAAATTAATAACAATCCCTTTCCCCCCCCCCCCTTACAAACAACTTAGAATTTTT